TGGAACACCATTTGAGTGTAGTCGTCTAAGGGCCCGTCGAGGGCAGTCCAGGAATTGGCTTCAGCTATGCCAGGCCTCCTACAGAAAGCGAGTCGCTGGTCAGGCCCGTAATTGGCCAACGCTATGCAATCCTCCTCCATAGGATCAGGCGATGAAAGTATCATCTTTACGACAATGAATGCATACAAACTTTTTGGGCTTATGGGCATAGAGTGGTGATCAAGAAAGTTTTCGACCAAACCAGATTGACTGTTACGGATGACGCCGTTAACACATGGAAAGGTTTCAATGGATGGAAGCTAGATAATCTTCCCTCAAAGTAAGTGATAAGAGGAAGAATCTTTAGGCTGTATGCAAGCAATCCATCCCTTGGATAATGATCCCCACAAACGGAATCGGAATCGACATCAGGGATCATCACTTGCTGCTCATGAACGCCTTGGCTTTCACTTTTCCTTGGACCTCTTCATTCCACCACCAGTCCCCTTTATGATCTCTAGAGTGGCTCTTCATGACCCTTAGCACCTCCCCAGCAGCTTCCCTAATATAGCCCGCTGTCGTGATCTACATACTACTCGCATTCCCACTACTCCTCCAAGCCCCCATAGCCAACAACCTCTCACCCAACTTTTGAGCTTTGTCCTTGGTCAAGGCTCCCCACTTTGATCTTGGGTCGGCCATTCACTGCTCTCTTCTTCGTCACTTTATTAATCCCTAAGTCCATAACCAAGAGCCTATGTTGTGTAGAAAGCCACTCACTCGGTACAACCTAGCAATCCGATACACAGACACGCACATATATTATATATAAGAAAAATATTCAGCTGCATGTCCCATGCCAAAGCGGCTACTCATGTGCTTATAATTGTCATGCCCCGAACCTAGGGGGCGAGATCGGCGCCCGGTGCCTCACTTAGCCTACCGTACCAACTTGCGACTGAGGGACTCTTAACATACAATGTCATATTGCTGGTCCCCTCACCTGCTGCCGTATCTCTCCTATAGCTAGTCGTAATCTTCCTACCCTTTTTAGACTCTCGTTTAAGCAAGTAGGTGACACACCTACTTGTCACCTAGCAGTCTGTACAGTCTCGCAAAAACGCATATATCTCTCTACTCCGATGTCATATTGACAAACGATTTAATGCGTTGTAAACTAGACTTATAGATCTTCAATTTGATGGGTGGAACACCCCGTAACTCTAAGTATATTGGGAGAAAATCGCAATTATATTTGACCCAAATTTTAGTAAAACTTATGAACATAACTTGTGATGACTTTCATCGACTTTTGTTCCACAACTCGCTTGACTTCAAAACATAACACACGACTATCATACGACTAACATAACTCCTTATCATGATAACCACCCTAGTCTCACCCCAAAAGTACATGTTATAACATTCCCAACTTGTTGACTTTCGACGAAACATTATTTTCTTCAATTCCTTTAGCTGCTGAACCTTCCAACCTTCTTTGTACTTGCTGTTCATGATCTTCAATAGATCAATATTTGTAACCTCCGAGATAACATGGTTAACTTACTTTATATACTTTCAAAGATGGTCTTATTTTTGGTCCTACATTAGTTTGCTTACGATGCACTTTTACGTATAAAAATATATGGTGTAACAATAATATGCAAAATACACAAATAAGAAATTTATGAACAACATCAGAGAATCTGTTGGTTGTACTTCTATAAAAAGAAGTAAATTTCTATGTAATATATTGTCAAAAAGCTACTTATTGAAAATTTTGGAAGAAAAGTATTAGTATAAAAGTCAACATTAGGACAAGAGTAAGTCCCATGTCCTTCGGATTGATTAAGAAATTAATATATGCCAGCGTCAGGACAGTATCATAATCATTTCAAACAAAGATTTCAAAGAATGATAATTTGAGACCTATAATTACTCCAGTGTCCAAGTGCTGGAAAATTATCAAAGTGCATATATTGTACTAAACAAATGCAAATCACCATACGAAGGGATCTATTGAATTTTTCGAAAAGCTATTATAGTTAATTTCAGAGTGTTGTCTCTCAGCAGTTCTTTATGGATAGGTGGGGCTAAACATCAGTACATTCTCAACTCTTTTAACAAAAAAGCAAATCGATCAAATAACTATGCCTTTAATACCAAATAAGTGAGGGTCGGCTACAAGTATTCTATGACCATTGCGCTCTATTCGGGCTCATCGCGTTCCAACACTCTACAAGTTATCTTTTAAGACAATATTCAAGGTCTTTAATACTACGTGGATTCCTCTATTGACTATATTTGTACCGTTTTCAACCTACATTTACCTCTGTGAAACTACCACAGTATACATCATAACTCTTGCAGTACTGCCTCAGCTGAAGAAACAACTATTGCAACCTTTAATCTGAATTATTTATCAGAATTATTATTTAGTATATTAAGATTGAATCATAAGCTTCAAAGCCCAGTCCCTACTCCCTCGTATAACTAAGAGAGTAGTATAAATGCTCAACTATATTCATTACTATTGTTCAGCTTTCCTGCAAGAGAGTGAGAAGGCGAACTTTTTTTTTAAAATAATAACTGCGAAATATTACCGTAAGAAATTAGACTTTATATACCTAAAGAGCACCCAGGACTACAACCACCTTCCGGGAAGGGTGTTATAGTTCTCTAGGCCTCAAAACAGGAACAACCCCTCTAGTTACCCAATCTGGAAATTAAATGCCTATATTTTTTTTTATGACCGAGAAATCCTTTTGGGGCCGATCCTTTGGACCAACTGCAGCCTTCGAAACTCGGTGGATAATGGACCCGCCCCTCTACCCTTCTCCACTTAAATGCCTATATCTATGAGCTCTCATTGTACTTTGTATATCTTCTAGTCTAATTCTAACTTCTGTTTGTATCTGTGCTTTAACAAAAAAATTTGGTATCGTAAATTAACATATATTCCTCTCATCCATTACTGCACTACTTAGTCTGCTTCTAGTGTTGTTTGTTTGTACTTCTATATGTATGCATAAATATCTTTTTTCTTATGACAAGTGCCCTACTTTCACTCATATTTACAGGATGAAATTTAAAATCACTCAAATGCAAAAGCAGCATGAGTATTTTGTTTAGTCAAAATGTAAAAACCTGTGTAGTTTCCCTCCTTGTTGCAATGCACCAGTGTAGTTTCCTTAAGGTATAATCGTTTCAAATGTCGCTCGTACACTGATAAAGCAATAAGCTTTTTACACATTTTAAAATGTATCTAATTTGTATGGAAAAATATAAAAAAAGCAGGATAACTCTTTAGTCTTTACTGTCTCAATAAGAAATAAAATTTTCTCCTAACACTTTAACCATGTGATAAGGACATTTACCATTTATATTTGGATATATGGACCAAAAGAGCAGGGAATAAAAAAATGGGGGAGGGAATCAGAAGAACCAGATCCCTATAGTTGAAACAGTAATGAATCAACTCATCTTTTTCATGTAAACTCAGAATGGCAAAACAAAATAAAATTCAAATCAAAGGAAGTTACAGGTTCATCACTTCTGAAATCCCCAATTTAAAACTCTTCGTCAAATGACAAAACCTTCAAATTCAAACGAAAATGGTGAATGGTCAAATAGCCGACGGAAACCCCAATTTCTTTTCAAGTCTTTTTTTGACTTACTCAAAATCAACATAAAACTACAACAGAATTTCAAATAACAAAGCAAGAAGAAGCATGAAACAAAACAATCAGATTAACCCATAAAAGGAAAAAAGATAGAACAGTAAAACTAACCTTTCAACCATGTGATTATGTTAATGGAGCAAATATGGAACTGCAAACAATCCAGCAAAAACCCCAATTTTCTGTCATTCTGATTAAACAATGAAGAAGTAGAAACCAAAGGAATTCTTAACAAAACGAAGAGAGAGAGAAAACCAGAGCCAAATCCAGTTCAGCGATGACCGTCAAAGTAAACTTGGAAATTACCAATTTAGCTTTCTCTGAAAGAAACAAAGCAGCAACTGCAGGGGCATAAGAGGATTCTGCTCTTATGCGACAGAACAACGAAATGAACAAGTCACTCTGCTCTTCATAAACAGAATCCACAGTAAGCCCAGTCTGGCTCGCACAAGAAATGAGGCGAGCTGCATTATCAAACCCACACTATGATTTAACTTGTCATTATATTAAGATAATAACCCAAGGTTTTCTTCCACCTCTATCTTTTTTCCGACAAAAAAACAACATTCATCCTTGTGTAACGACGAAACTAGTTATGTATGTCAAAATAACAAAGTGGAGAAAATCAGACGCATCAGCTTTACATGAATTGGGGAAAAACCGACATGACACAGAAGGAGAAAGAGCAACGTAAAAGGGTAAATTTTAAACGAATGTCATCCAAGATCACCTAGAACCATAGAACGCCAATGAAATGAAGCCAACTCAAGAGGCAAATCGATAGAAAGTGAATAAAAAGAAAACCATCTTTTAGATCTTATAAAATTCAACATTCAGTTGGCATGTTGATACGAATTGAAGGAGTGGGATCAGAGATGAGTATGGGATTCAGAATTAGATTTTGTTGAAGGATTAAGTAGACAAGGTGATAATTAACTGCAGTTAACTTTTATTGTAGTCACTAACTAAATTGGTTAGTTAGTTGGTAAGGTAGTTAGTTAGTAGTCTTGAGAAGATATAAATATCTTCTTCTCTTAGCTTAAATGTACATAAGTTATTTTTCTCTCAAAAATTCAATGAAACGGTGTTCCTTCCTTCTCTTTTTTACTGCTTCAGTTCATCTTCTATCTGAGCTTCAAATCTTTGTCCATAGCAGCTAACATGGTATCACAGCCACCGGCAATGATCTAGGCTATCGTCGTCTCAATTCTCTCTTATGATTTCTACTCTTTGCTTCTAGATTACTTCAATTTTTTGCAAAATTAGGTGCAGAATTGTCTTAGAGTAATCACAAAATCGAAGTTAGGGTTTGTATTTTTTCAATTCAAAGTGAAGTTTACAATGGCGATTGGCACTGAAGAAGATAATACAACAACTCGTACATCAGCTACTGGTTCTGGTTCGTCATGTCCTTCTATAGATCACAATCACCCCCGGTACCTACAACCAATGGACACACCAGGTAGTTCTCTAGTCTCTATTCAGTTGACTGGATCTGATAACTATGCCTTGTGGAGTCGTGCTATGCGAATTGGTCTGTTAGGTAAAAGTAAGTTAGGTTTTGTTGATGGAAGGTTTCCAAAGTCTAAATTCGAACCAGAACTTCATGATCTGTGGGAAAAGGTCAATGCTGTTGTGTTGTCATGGATAATGAATGCAGTGAGACCTGGTCTGTTGAGTAGTGTTCTATATGCATGTAGTGCTCATAAGGTGTGGGAAGATCTAAAAGAAAGATTCGACAAAGTGAATAGCTCTAGAGTATTGTTTCTTCATAGAGAAATGCACAATTTGACTCAAGGAACCATGACTGTATCAGATTACTTCTCAAAACTGAGAGATTTATGGGATGAGTTTGATGCTCTAATGCCTTGCCCAGGGTGTCCATGTCCTGAGTCCAAGCTATATGCTCAGCACTTTGAGGCTCAAAGACTGTTGCAGTTTCTTACTGGCTTGAATGATTCCTATGCACAATCCAGAAGTCAGATTATGATGATGACTCCAGTACCTACTATCAACAAGGCTTATTCACTTCTTGTTAATCAAGAGAGTCAAAGAAATCTAGCAAGCATGGCCCAGGTTACACAGCTTGCAAAAGGTCTAGAGAGCACTGCCCTGTATGGGAACAAAAGTTCAAATGTCACCAGTGGAGGTTATATACAAAGAAAGAATAATGTTCAGTGTGATTACTATCATTACAAAAGGGCATACCAAAGAGAATTGCTTCAAGCTAATAGGCTATCCACCTGATTTTAAGTCAAAAAGAAAGGGAAGTGCACCTGGACTTTATGCTAATTTTGCAGGTAATTTAAAGTTTCAGCAGAGGATGAGCACACCAGTTGTGAAAGTCAACTGAACACTGGGTCTTATCGTGAAAAGGGATTCACTTCAGCTAATTCTGTACCACCACAAATGACACAGACACAACCATTCTTTACCCAGGAACAATACCAGCATATTATTCAAATGCTTTACAAAGGAAGTGCAGAAGGTTCTGGCTCATCTAGCAAGATAGCTACTGCAGGTATTCTAACTCATGTGAATGCATTTGTGTCTCAGTGTATCAATAGTGATTGGATAATTGATACTGGAGCCTCAAATCACATGATATCTAGACTTGAGTTACTACAAATACATAAGTCACTTCCTACAACACAGAGAAATATAGTTCATCTTCCTAATGGTAATGCAGTGCAAATTTCACACATAGGGAGTACATCTGTGTTGGACAATCAAAAGATTTCTAATGTGCTCTACATTCCAGATTTTAAGTTTAATTTACTCTCAGTTTCACAACTCACCAAGGAACTAAAGCGTATGGTAGGATTCTTTCTTGACTTTTATATTTTTCAGGATCTTTACAGTGGTCAGGTAAAGGGGATTGGTAGAGAGGAACATGGACTTTATATTCTTAAAGGAGGTGTTTCAGAACAATTCCTAGTTCAACTGACAAATAAGAGTGCATGTGCAGTTGCTGCTCCCTCTCTTGCAGGCTCAAGCTGCTTATGGCACAAGAGATTGGGACATGCTCCCTTAGATGTAATAAAAAGAGTAGACAAGTTAAATAAGTTGACTACTAGTGATAGTCAACATTGTACTGTATGCCCACTAGCTAAGCAAAGTAAACTTCCTTTTCAGCTTAGCAGTACTACAACTCAATCCATGTTTGAATTGATTCATTGTGATATTTGGGGACCATACAAATTTCCTACTCATGATTGAAAAAGATTCTTTGTTACTATAGTAGATGACTATAGTAGATATACGTGTATATTCCTTTTAACCTCTAAGTCTGAAGCCTATGTTGTTCTGAAGAATTTTCTCATTCAGGTTCAAAATATATTCTCTACCATAGTTAAGGTCTTGAGGACTAACAATGGAAGTGAGTTTTTTAGCACTAATTTCAAAAATTTGCTGTCTAGTCTTGGTATTGTGCATGAAAGCTCATGTGTGTATACACCCCAACAAAATGGAGTGATAGAAAGGAAACATAGAACTATTCTTAATATGGCAAGGGCACTCAGATTTCAAGCTTCTGTTCCTTTAAAGTTTTGGGATGAATGTGTCACTACGACTGCTTACATACTGAATAGACTTCCTTCCAAAGTAATTGACTACAAATCACCATTTGAGATGCTTTATTTACACTCTCCTTCTTTGGCTCACTTGAGAGTCTTTGGTTGCCTGTGTTATGTTGCAACTCCTAGAGTACTAGACAAGTTCTCACCCAAAGTTGTTCTTACTGTGCTTATGGGATATTCTTCAACACAAAAGGGTTACCTTCTGTATGAACTACACTCCAAAACATTTCTGGTGAGCAGAAATATCATATTCAGGGAAGATGTTTTCCCCTTCAAACATGTGAAGTCATATGGCAACCCTGTATTTCCTGTGTTAGATCTACTCTCCCCAGTAATTCATGAAAGCTCTACAGTTAATACTGCTGCACCAGCTCCTTTATTATCACCTTCCTTGAATTCAGAGATCAATCATCTCTCAGATGTTGAACTACAACAAACTTCTGATCTGGAGGAGCATATACATCAACTTCACAACTTTGAGCCAAATGTTGTTCTTGATGTTCCTTCACCTCCTATTGAAGCCACTGCTCCTGTTGTAGTAAGTGATGAACCTTCTATACGCTGTAGAATATCTTCCAGACCAAGCAAGCCTCCTATTTGGCTACAGGACTATGTAACAAAGACTAAAGGGGCCAAGTGAAACTTCCCTATCTCTTCCCATGTGAACTACAATCATCTCTCCCCCACTTACAGCCAGGCAATCTTAGTTTATTCAGCAGTCTCAGAACCATCCAACTTCAAGGAGGCTGCATATGATCCTAAACGGATAGAAGCTATGAAACTTGAGTTACAGGCACTAGAAGATAACAATACTTGGTCTGTTGTAGACCTACCTCCTGGAAAGACACCTATTGTTTGTAGGTAGGTGTTTAGGATTAAGTATAAGGCTATAGGTGAAGTTGAGATATTTGTCTAGACTGGTAGCTAAGGGGTACAGTCAAAAAGAGGGCCTAGACTATGGAGAAACTTTCTCACCAGTGGCCAAGATGGTCACTGTGAGATCTGTTGTTGCTGTTGCTGCCTCAAAATAGTGGTACATTTATCAAATAGATGTCCATAATGCATTTATTAATGGTGATTTAGATGAAAAGGTATATATGGTGTTGCCTAAAGGGTTTGCTAGATAGAGAGAGTCTCAGAAGGTCTGCAACCTTCAAACATCCTTGCATGGCCTCAAGCAGTGGAATCTAAAGCTTATAGAAGCCCTTGTACATATGGGATTTCAGCAGAGTCACTATGATTACTTACTATTTGTCAAGAGAGTTGGGGATGATATTGTGATCATACTTGTATATGTAGATGATCTCTTAATTACTGGCAGCAATCACAAGTTGCAATGTGACACAAGGCTAGATCTTCAAAGCAGGTTCAAAATTAAGGATCTGGGAGAGCTAAAATTCTTTCTAGGTATTGAATTTGCAAGGTCTAACAAAGGGATCCTAATGAGTCAGAGGAAATATGCTCTAGAGCAGATTTCTGAAACAGGTCTTAGTGGAGCAAAGCCAGCTAATACACCTATGGAGCTCAACCAGAAGCTGACTACTGTAGAATATGATCTATCTTTCAACAGAGGAAATGCTACTGCTGATGAAGTACTAAGATATCCTGGTGTCTATCAAAGACCAGTTGGGAAGTTACTATATCTAACTATGACTAGACCTGATATCTCCTTTGTAGTACAGGTCTTGAGTCAATTCATGCATTGTACTAGATTGTCCCATATGGAGGCTGCATCAAGAGTAGTGAGATATATAAAGCAAGCACCTGTCCTTGGACTGTTTATGCCTGCAAAAGACAGAAAGAATCTGACTGACTACTGTGATTCTGGTTGGGGAGCTTGTGTGGAAACAAGAAGATCAGTAACTGGCTATCTGGTAAAGTTTGGAAATGCTTTAGTATCCTGGAAGTCCAAGAAGCAAAGCACTATCTCCAAAAGCTCAGCTGAAGCAGAGTTCAGGAGTATGGCCTCTTGTGCAGCAGATGTCACTTGGTTGATAGGGTTATATGCAGAACTAGAAATCAAAGTCTGTTTTCCTGTTAAGTTGGTATGTGACAGCAAGGGAACAATCCAAATTGCTGCAAATCCAATCTTTCATGAGAGAACAAAGCATATTGACATTGATTGTCACTTTGTGAGGGAAAAGTTATGTGAAGGAATGTTGAAGACTGAATATGTATATACAGAAGATCAATTGGCAGACCTACTAACTAAGACTCTTGTAAAAGCTCAACATGAGCATCTGTTGAACAATTTTGGATTGAAGAATGTGTATCAATCATCAGCTTGAGGGGGAGTATTGAAGGATTAAGTAGACAAGCTGATAATTAACTGCTATTGTAGTCACTAACTAAATTGGTTTGTTAGTTGGTAAGGTAGTTAGTTAGTAGTCTTGTCTCTTAGCTTAAATGCACATCAGTTATTTTTCTCTCAAAAATTCAATGGAACAGTGTTCCCTTCCTTCTCTTTTTTACTGCTTCAGTTCATCTTCTATCTGAGCTTCAGATCTTTGTCTATGGAAACTAATAGATTTGGGATTTTTTAAGAGGAAATGGCAATTTATAGCAAAGTAGAGAGATGGTAAGAAGAGGGAGGTTAGACAGAAAGAGAGAGCTGAAGCAGAGGATGGACAAAGATAGAACAACATCAGTGGAAGATAATGGGGCTGAGCAAACGTGGAGCACAAATAGGATGCAAAGGCAATTAGTAAATTAAAAGTAGAGGTGCTTTGCCAAATTAACTTAGAATGTCCAGATATTACAGGTCAATGTACAATCCATAGCACCAACGAAATGACTAAGGAATGCGTAACTTTAGGTGCAAAAGTCAGATAAATTCAATGATATCGCTCATGAAAGTTTCCCCAGCATTTACATCTAAGTTGTTAGCAGAATGCCATGATAAAATTTACGAAAGAATACCGATGACTTCAGAAGAGAAGTGATACCAGGTGCACTTCCCTTAGAAATGAAGGTAACATGGATGCCTTCAACATTTACTCAAATTTTTCATTTCAAAAAAGAGATTCAGTTAAATTCTTTGATCTAAAATATTTCCTTCCCTTGTTTAAATGATATCGAAGTGTTGCTTTGTTCTTACTTAAAACCAGCTTTTCCTATAAATAAACTAGGTATTTGTACACAAATTCGACGACATTAAAGCATATAACTACCAAGCAAATATGGGAAGCACAAACAAAGCATATAAGTTACATAGTAATTTCAAATGCCAGAAAAGCTCAAAGAATGAACAAACCGAAACCGTTTACCATTATCACCAACAACACGTCCCCTCTAAAGCTAACATAGAACTTTATCTATGGTAGCAGCTCTTATGACACAATTCTCCACACTATACACTTTGCCTCGGCTCCTCCAACCCTGATAAATGATGCTTTTGTACGGGACTTCGTTCCTGGAGATGCATGGTCGCATTCTCAACATATACAGCTGATCATTATCTTTCATATTAGAGAAAATTCAGAAAGCTAATTAGAATCAAGACTACATAAACAATCAAAGTCAAACCTTTTTCTGGTGTTCTGTTAAGACCAAACAGAAAACGTAATAGTACTATTTATGATAACTGTGCAGATTATTTTTTCATATGATATTTAGAGAAGAATAGCTAGCTGCAGGTTATCATGTAACAACTGTACACTGACATCTTTTCTTGGTGTTCTATCAATTGTACACTGACATCTTTTTTCTTTCTTCGTAGCTCTAAATCACTTTTGTACATTGTTCATAGTTAGATATACAGCTTATCATGTAACAACTTAGAACTCGATGGTTAATAAAATTACTGAATCCAGAATTTATTAAGCAAAAATTTTACAAGCAGAAAAAGAATGGTTTGCTACAGAAATAGAAGCCACCATACCAGTCAAAGATTGTATTCCAACTTCTTACCGGGTAGGTAAGCATTAAAAACAAAGAGTAAAATCTAAGTTGCGCGGACTCTTCGATTTGGGTGCCGTCCTCGTCCGGATATGGATACGGGGACGGGATATGTGCCAGATACGGTCAACTGACTTTGGACACTTTAACCGGAGTCCATCAACAAATTTGGGAGAAAATTTGAGAGTTTGATTTCTCAAAATAAAAAATAAAACAGATTTAGAACAATGAAAGAATAATGTCCATCTTGGAGACTGAAAAGATTGAATTGTACAATATTCATGTAAGTTTTTTACAGAATATCTCTCAAAATTTACAATATTTTTATAACTCTATTTTTTAGCTGAATTACCGCACCCGTATCCATATACGGATCCGCACTCCCATATCTTAAAATTTAGATTTTGCGGAATCCAATACTCGGCTAGTATCGGAAACCAACACCCGAGTCCGAGCAACTTAGAGCAAAACAATAAAAAATAAAAACTCAAGAAAGAAAGAATGAAAAGTACAAACAACAACAAGAAAGAAAAATTAATATTGCAATGACCGCTAATAT